TGTGTTGTTTGATTGCTGTGGCTAAGACTTCCAGTATTATGTTAAATAAAATTAGTGAGAGTGGACATCCTTGTTTTGTTCCTGACCTTAGAGGGAAATCTCTCAATTTTTCACTATTGAATATGATGTTAGCTGTGGGTTTTCAAATATGGCCTTTATTATGTTGAGGTATGTTCCCTTCAACTGTGTTGTTGAGGGTTTTTATTATGACTGAATGTTATACTTTGTCAGATGCTTTTTCTGCATCCATTGAAATGATCATGTGGTTTTTATCCTTTCTCTTTTGATGTGATGTATCCTGTTGATTGATTTGTGAATATTGAATCATGCATGCATCTCTAGAATAAATCCCACTTGATTCTTTTCAGTTTATTGTTGGATTTGGTTAGCTAATGTTTTCTTGAGGATTTTTGTGCGTATGTTCATCAGAGATATTGGCCTGTAGTTCTCTTTTTTTGTAGCGTCTTTATTTGGTTTAGGTATCAGATTAATCCTGGCCTCATAGAGTGAATTTGGAAGTTTTCCTTCCTTTACCATTTTTTGGAATAGTTTGAGAAGAATAGGTATTAACCCTTCCTTAAATGCTTGGTAGCATTCACCTGTGAAGTCATCTGGTTCTGGACTTTTGTTCGTTGGGAGGTTTTGTTTTGTTTTGTTTTTTGTTTTTTTTTCCTAATCCAATTTCATTGCTGATAATTGGTCTGTTCAAATTTTCTATTTCTTTCTGATTCAGTTTGGGGAGTTTATATTATTCTATTAATTTATCTATTTCTTCTAGCTTGTCTGTGTTTTGACATATATTTTTATAATATTCTTTTATAATCCTTTGTACTTCTGTAGTGTCATTTTTTATTTTTCCTCTTTCATTTCTGTTTTTGTTCATTTGAGTCCTCTCTTTCCTCCTGCCCTTTTTTTGTGAGTCTGGCTAAAAGTTTATCAGTTTTGTTGATCTTTTCAAGAACCAGCTCCTGGTTTCATCGATCTGTTCTATTGGGTTTGTTGTTGTTGTTGTTTTAGTTTCTATTTCATTTATTTCAGAACTCATCAGGTTCTGTTTGTTTTTCTTTTTCTAGTTCCCTTAGGTGTAAGATTAGGTTGTATATTTGAGATTTTTCTTGCTTCTTGAGGTACACCTGTATTGCTCTAAATGTCCCTTTTAGAACAGCTTTTGCTGTATCCCAAAGACTTTGGACCATTTTGTTTTCATTTTCATTTGTCTCCATCTATTTTTTATTTCCTCTTTGGTTTCTTGGTTGACCCCTTCATTGTTGGGTAGCATGTTATTTAACCTCCATGTATTTGTGTTCTTTCCAGATTTTTCTTGTGGTTTATTTCTAGTTTCTAGTTTCGTGGTGTTGTGATACATGGTATGACTTCAATTTCAATCTTTTTGAATTTGTTGAGATTTGTTTTGTGGCCTAATATGGGATCTCTTTTGGAGAATGTTTCATGTGTAATAGGAAAGAATGTATATTCTGCTGTTTTAGGATGGAATTTTCTGAGTATATGTTAGAAAGTTCAGACCAATGTGTGATTCAAAGCCATTGTTTACTTGTTAGTTTTCTGTTTGGATGATCTGCCCACTGATGTAAGAGGGTGTTAAAGTCCTCTACTTTTATTATATTACTATCAATTACTTCCTTTATGTGTTTTTAGCTGCTTTATATATTTGGGTGCTCCCATGATGAGTGCACAATATTTACAATTTGTTATATCTTCTTGTTGGATTGTTCCCTTTATAATTATACAGTGTTCTTCTTTGTCTCTTGTTACAGTCTTTGTTTTAAAGTCTATTTTGTCTGATATAAGTATTGCTACCTGGCTTTCTTTTCACTGCCATTTCCATGAAAAATGTTTTTCCATTCCTTCATATTCAATCTGCATGTGTGTTTAGGTCTGAAATGAGTCTCTTATCAGCAGCATATAGATGGGTCTTGCTTTTTTATCCATTCCATCACCCTGTGTCTTTTGATTGGAGTGTTTAGTCCATTTGCATTCCAAGTGATTATTGACAGATATGTACTTACTGCCCTTTTCTTACTTGTTTTATATGGTTGTTGTTTTAGTTCTCCTCTGTTCCTTTCTTCTCTTGCTCTCTTCTTTTACACTTTGGTGGCTTTCTTCAGTGATATACTTGGGTTCCTTTCTCTCTTTCTTTTTTGTATATCTATTACTGGTTTTTAATTTGTGGTTACCATAAGGTTTGTATATAACATCTTCTGCATATAACAACCTCTATTAAGTGAACTGAAGTTAAGTTAAATTAAGTGAACTTAAGTGAACCATTCTTTACTTCTCTCCCTTCCACATTTTAGGTAAATGATGTCATCTTTACATCCTTTTATTTTGTGAATCCTTGACTGGTTTTTATAGATATACTTATTTTTACTACTTTTCTGTTTCCTACTTTTCTTATTCTTGCTTATGGTCTTTCCTTTTCACTCAGAGTCCCCTTTAACATTACTTGTAGGGCGCTTTCATGGTCATGAATTCCTTTAGCTTTTGTTTGTCTGAGAGTACTAGCAATAGTATTCTATACTAGCAATACTTATATCAGACAAAATAGACTTTATCTCTTCTTCTATTCTGAATCATAGCTTTGCTGAATAGTGTATTCTTGGCTGCTGTTTTTTGTTTATTTGTTTGATTTGTTTTGTTTTTTCTTTCAGCACTGATTATTTCATTCCATTCCCTTCTGGCCAGCAAACATTCTGCTGAAAAGTCAGCTTATAGCCTCATGGTGTTTCCCTTGTATGTAACTTTCCTTTTCTCTTGCTACTGTTAAAATTCTCTCTTGATCACTACTTTTTGCCCTTTTAATTACTGTGTCTTGGTGTGGACTTCCTTAAGTTGATTTTGTTGGGGGCTCTCTGTGCCTCCTGGACCTAGATTTCTGTTTCCTTCCCCAGATATGGGAAGTTTTCAGCTATTATTTCTTCAAATAAATTTTCTGTTCCCTTTTTCTCTCCCTTTTTTCCTCCTGGAATCCCTATAATGTGAACATTATTATGTTTAATGGTGTTGCTGAAATCCCTAGGTCTATTTTCATTTTTTATCAATTTTTTTCTCTTTCCTCTTCAGCCTGATTGTTTTCCATTACTCTATCCTGCAGGTCACTGATCCATTCTTCTGCTTCCTCTAGTCTACTATTTATTCCATCTTTTTATTTCATTTACTGAGTTCTTCATCACGAATTGGTTCTTTTTTCTGTTTTCTATTTCTTTGTTGCATATCTCACTAAGATTTGCCACTCGTTTCTCAAGTCTCATGAGTATCTTTTTGACCATTACTTTAAATTCTCTATAAGCATATTACTTATCTCCATTTCATTTAAGTCTCTTGCTTTGATTTTGTCCTGTTGCTTTTTTGGGGACATATTCCTCTATCTCATTTTGTCTAACTCTCTGTGTCTATTTCTGTGTATTTAGAAAGTTAACTACTTCTCCTCTTAAAAGTAGTGGCCTTATGTAGAAGAGGTCCTATAGTGCCCTGCAGTGCAGTGTCTTTCGTTTACTAGAATCTGGAGCTTCAGGTGTATCTCCTATGTGTGTTGTGTGTACCCTGTTGTTGTGGCTGAACCACTTTTGCCTCAGTCCCATCATCTGCAATGGTTCTCTTACCTGTTGTGGGCAGGCTTTGGTCTGGTGTGGATAGTGGGCCAGGCTGGGGCCACCTTGGGCTTAAGTTGATTCAGACCAGGCACTTGCCAGAGATGCAGCAGCACTGAGCTGCAGGAGAATGTGGGTGCGGGGCATGTGGTGCCAGGAAGTTTCATGCTTGTGGGAGGGAACCTGCAGCTGCTGGGGACCAAGGCAGGCTGGGTTGGACAGGGTGCATCTACAGAAGTGTGCAGGTAGAATGCCTTGTGTCAGCGAGGTTTGTGTGGTTCTGCTATGGGAGGGGACCTGGAGTGAAGGCCTGGCTGGAGGAGAATGCATGGCTGTGGTGTGCTGTCAGCAAGTTGGGTAATGAGTATTATGCTGGAGCTGTTTCCTGAAGGTGGGTGTATATTTAGGTGGGACAAGGGAGGGAAATGGAGCCTGTCAGCTCCTTTGTTCGTGGAGAAGTCTTCCAGTTATCCCTAACCCTCCAGCACAAGCTCTGAGATTAGTATACAAATTTTTCTCCCTCCCATGTATCCCAGACATTTTCAGACTGACTGTTACTTCTATGCTGTATCTCCATGGGGCTGTTTGTTGAGTTATCTCTTTAAGGGCAGGAACTCGGTTTCCTCTCACCCTCCTGGCTCTCCTGCTTATTTAAAGTTCCAGGTTTTAAGGCTGCTGATGGTAAGAACTCACAAAATTTGGCTCCTCTGGTTTTCAAAACCAAATATTATGGGGATTCATCTTCCCTGTGTGTGCTCCCCTGGTGTGACAATCTGTTTCTCCCTCCCTTCTTTGACTGTAGCTCCCTCCCCCTCTCCCACCTGCATCTCTACCCTTCCTATCCTCTTTAATGTGGCCTCTTCTCTACATTTAGCTGTGGAGAGTTTGTTCTGCCAGTCTTTGGGTCATTTTTCATCTATTTACACTTATGTGGATGTTAGCTAGTTGTATTCAAGTGACAAGGTGAGCTTAGGGTCCTCCTACTCCACCATCTTTCCTGGAAGTTAGAAAAATGGATATTTTGAAATATTTTTAATCTCCGGTCTCTGATCACATCTTCCTGAATCATCTCACTTGTTTATCACCTGCAAAAGTATTTTTTTATTTTTACTTCAATTAAAAACCCAAATTAGTACAAACTTTTCCCAATGTGTTCAATTGTGTGTTCTGAGTACTAGAAAAGGTAAGTCTGTCATGCCTGCCAAAGTGTATACACTCATTAGTTTTTGCATACTGGACGTTTATCCATTTGAGTGTCAGATACACAAAATTTACAATTTTGTAAATGCTATTTTAGAGTTGACTCTGCAATTTTAAATAAATTTGATGAAAATATGTAGATTAATAGTAATGAAGATTCTGATGTTTGTTCTGTTCTTTTGACCATAACAGATCAAAGAACACCTTGCTAAGGGGCAACGAATGTTGGCAGGTGATGGAATGTCCCAGGTGACCAAGACATTGCTGGATTTAACTCAGAGGAAAAATTTCTATGCAGGTGATCTTCTGATGTCTGTGGAAATTCTCAGAAATGTGACAGACACGTTTAAAAGGGCAAGTTACATCCCTGCATCTGATGGTGTCCAGGTAAGAGAGATAATCCCCTGAACAAAAAGACTAGTGAAGATGCATTGGGGTTTTGGCCCTGAGAAGCCAGTGCTGCAGCCCTTTGGAGGCATTCTGGCTTGGAGGGAGAGAGCACTTATTCCTGCAGGGGACATATTCAGGTTGTGCTTAGTGTGAGCTCTGGAAATGACCTCAATTCCCTTAGTCATTGTACACCTCAGTGTCCCCAACCATAAAATGCACATAACACACCTCAAGGAGATACTGAATGAGAATGTGTATAAAGTGTTTTGAGCCCTCAGATAAAAGGCACAATAGCAAATTCAAGGTTGTATTATGGATATTTTATTCCCACATTTAATATCACCATCTTGCCATAAGAGACTCTTAAAAGTACATTAGGCATAATGAAAGCACATTAACTATAACATGCAAAGAAGATATAGTTTAAGTTTTGTTGGGGTTTTGCTATCAGAAGGGGGAAGGCCATATTTAATTTTGTGGAACCATTGCCTGAAAATATTGGGCAAATAGAGAATTGTTCTGGATAGGAAAAAAAGAAATTCAATAACTCCTCACAGTATGTTTTTCTTGTCATGGAAGACTTCTAGAGCAAAATCATTTATTTCTATACTAAAGTTTAAGTACTCACCCAATTTCAGTATTGCCTTTGCCATTAAAGCACAGCTTGTTGCATGGCAAACAAAGCACGTTTAATGCAACTCCTGCTTGCATTTCAAATTAACACCTTTTTTGCTATAGGCTAAAATGTACTCCTGCCAAGAATGCTGAGTTGATTTCTGCATTTCCAGCATAATGCTCTTCCTGTATCTCCCCATAAAGTTCATTAAAATAAGGTTTTGGCAAAACTCCCAGATCAGGTAGTTTTCTTTCAGCCTACTCTTCATTTGGGAGTTTTATTTGCATTTCACACGGAGAATGCAGAGGGCTTTTGTTTTGTTTTGTTTTGTTTGTTTTGTTTTGCTTTGTTTTGTTTTAATCAGCTATTGAGGGAAGGAGGAAAAGAAGACTTTTTGAAATCATGGAATCGTTCATAAATGATATTAATGCCCTGATTTGTATAGAGGTACATATGTTACTTAAATTATATGCATATACTGCTGAAAGTAACTGAAATGAGAATTATTGGTGCTGCATTTTATATTATATCACCAGTGTCCAAGAATACAGTTTTAATTGTAAAAATATGTGGGATGGAAGATTACTGTCATTTGAGCATTTCAAGAATTCTTTTTTACAAAGAATGAAACGGTTTTCCAGTTTTAAAAACTTGATAAAGTAAGCCAAGCCGATATTTTCCCCATAGTTCTGAGATACTTCTGTCCATTAGAATTTACATTAAAAAATAACATCCTAAGTCCTTGATGCAAAATACAAGTTGTAATTTCAAAAAAACCTTAGACGCTTATGTTCACAGTTGAAACATCAGGTAGAATGATGAACTACATAATCTCTAGGACCTCCTTTAACCCTCAAGAGTGTAGAGCTTTAACATTTTTAGATGCTGAAACTGAAGAAATTAAGATTAACAGGTTATACTGGGAACATATTTTGATTGAGTTACTCATTAGAGTGCGTTGACTCAATGAACAATTAGTTTAACCAAAGGCTTAGTCATGGGAATATTAGCTGGTTTGACTTAAACAGAGCAGTTTGGCTGATTATTTTGTTGTCATTTCAACATAGTCAGAAATTTCCACCCCACTCTTTTATTAATCCTCCACACTACACAAAATTCTCAGCATGTTGGTGTCCCAGTCATCCCTTCACAAGTAAGAGCGGTTTTTTTCTATTTCATTGTCTTTACTGGTATCTTTTCAGGCCCCTGGAATGCCCTCCTCTTTTGGAATTCCTTCTTCTTCCATCTCTGTCTGTCAAAATCTTTAGCCTGGATCTAGCAAGACTTTCTGAATGCCAGACCAGCAAGCCCCAAACTCCATCTAAAAATGATCTTTCTCTTTTCTGAAATCCCAGACAACTTTACACCTCTTTTATTCTACTTTCCATCACTTTATAGAAACATTTTATATATATTTATCATCTTTACTTGATTATAAACTCTGGTTTGTAACCTTAGTCAACGTTGCCTGTACCTTACTTAAACTTCAATCTTCTATTTCCAAGGGCTCTGGTCATTTCTGATTGGCTAGCACATCAGGATTAATATGGGGATAAACTGAACTTATCTTGAATTGCAAATTTTCTTGCATATTGTACTTCCCTTTGTAGAATTAGGGGTCCTTAGGCTGGAATTATAATGTTATCTTGACTTTTCCTTCTTTTACTTTTTTATAGGCTATGCCTACACAGTATCTTTTCTATCCTTTCTTTCCTCTCTTTTCCCACTGCTCTTATCCTAATTTAGCCTTTAATTGCCTCAGCCTACATTATTTCCATGGCCTCTTTCCTTTAATCCTCCCTCAGATCTTTACCTAAATCTCTTTCATCTTGTACATCATAGTCCTATTACTTATCCTAGTACAGCTCTGATTATGTCACTTCTTAGATCAGCAACCTTCACTGGAGCTCCAAGCCCCCTGAATGACAGCCCAAAGTCTTTATGTTGTCTTCTAGTACACTCCACAGTATGTAGGTTACCTACCTTTACAGCCAAATGCATGTTAGTCCTCCTCTTCACAGACTGGTGTCAAATTAATTACTTACTGCTTCTTTTTTTTAATTAATTTATTTATTTTAGAGTGAGGGGAGGGGCAGAGGGAGAGAATCTTTCAAGCAGATTCTCTGCTGAGCACAGAGCCCAACATGGGGCTTGATCCCATAACCCATGAGACCATGGCCTGAGTCAAAACCAAGAATTGGACACTTAATCCACTGAACCACACAGGCACCCCACCACTTCCTGCTTCTTGAATACACTGTATGTTCTTAGCTCTTGGTCTTTGCCTCCTCTGTGCTCTTATACTGGCTTGGTCTCTCCCAGTCTTCTAAGGTAATTTCTTGGTACTCTGGGCCTCTGAATTCTAATAGCACTTTCTCTCCTGCATCTCTTTATATCTCGTATTATTATCACTCATTAGTAAATCTTGAAAAAGAAGACATTTTCCTGATCCATCTTTGGATCCCAGCCAACCTCCAGAACACCCTCGTTCTCAAACAAGATTTAACATAGAATCTTAACAACAAAATTAATAATTACATAGGTACCACTAAGATTTTTTCACTTCTTTTTTTTAAAACTGGGAAGTGAACAAAGAAAGATTAAGCAAAATGGTTTAAAAAGAATGCATCCTTTTCAATGTACTTATGTGCAATGCATTTTAGTTAAAATGCCTAGTAATGCTGGATTCACTAAAAGATTGATTTGGTGCATTGATGAAAGTGAGCTAGAATAGCTACAACCTATTAAAGTTGGGGAGAAAATAAAATGTAGTTGTGTGTCTTGGAATGATAAAGCATAGTAATAGTTTTTTTTTTTGGAAACTGTAGAAAAGATATTCCAAAAGTCTTTTCCCTTCTGATACATCCCTTTCCAAACCCTGGGGCTTTGTCGTATCTCTAAGTTTCTTTCCTATTAGTTCTCTATGTAGTTTATCCTTCCTGTTTCCAATCTGATGCAAGTTCCTTCCAGATCCAGCTCAAAAATACCTTCTACTCAAAAGTCTTCTCATCAAATCCCAAGAAGAATTCAAATTTTTCCTAATTGCCTGGCCTTTTGAAACCTTGTAAATATCTCTACTTCTAGCATATTTCTTACATAACATTGTAACATCTCTCATAATATCCTAATTATTTGTTTCTAGGTATGTTTTCAGCAATAAATTTTAAACTTGTTGAGAGATGATTATGTCTTGAAGCATAGTAGACACTCCAATATTTGTTGAAGTAATTAATAAATGAATATGAATAACATAGTAATTTGGGGGAAATTTACATTGTTCACACACACACACACACACACACACACACACACACACATAAAATTCTGAACATCCAATTTAGAGAGAGAAAGGGAAAGAGAGGAAAATGCATCCATTTACCTTTTTTTCACCCCTGGGAAAATTTGTAGTAAGACTCATTCTATCAATAGAAGATTGAATTTGCAACACACACACTGGAACTTTAAGACTTGACAGAATTAAATCAGACACATGCAGGTTGAAATTCCATCTTGTCTAATAACTATCTTGGTGTCTTCAAACGCATTACTTAATATTTCTATATCTTATTTCTTCATATCTAAATAAATAAAGAAGACATAGTAGTATGGTCTATTCTCATTATTCATGGTAGTTATATTATGTAAAGTTGCAGCAAACACTAAATAAATGAATACTGAGCCATTTCCTCCTAGGGAAAATACAGGATGAGGTTCCTTTGAGAATCTGTTCATACCATTTTCATGAACCAATTAATACATGACCTTGTTTTATGTGGTTATTGTTAAAAGACATTGTTTTTAAGATATATGGTTAATCATTAATATTGAACTCACGGCCAAGACACTATAATTCATGCCAGAAAAAGTTTTCCTAATACATATGTTTTTTTCTCTAAGGCACATGATGGTCTTTTTGAGTTTAAGAATACTAGATAGTCCTTTAGCACTATGCTGTGAGACATTTTAAACAGTGAAATCACCAATAAAAAGCACACAATAAAGGGAAAAAAAACAAAAAACAACCTGAGCATTAAATTGGCCATAAACAAACAAAAAACAACCTGAGCATTAAATTGGCCATGAAAAGGAACTTGTTTACAGTATGTGAACTGAAACAAAAAGTCAGAGCATTGCCATGTTTGGCCTCAGCTGGGTACATGTGCATTGGGTGATTCAGATGTTTTCCACTCTGCACATGTCCATGAATGACCAATGTGCCAATGCACATATGTACTTTGGTATCTCTCTTACAAAGAGAGGAAGGCCAGATGTTCCTCATGGCACCATCTGGGGAAGTATGGGCACTTTTTTTTTTAATCACTTATTACAGAGGAGAAGGGTAGAGAATGTGTCAAGGAAAATAGGAGTCCAAAAAGAAGCA